GTTTATTTGTTGACTTTTTATTCTTTTAATGAATGAGGTCAATGCAATGAACTTCCCTCTTAGCACTGCCTTGATGTCCCAGAGGTTTCGATAAGTGGTATCAGAGTTCTCATTTACCTCTAAGAATTGTTCTCATCTCCTCCCTGATGGCTTCTGTATCCATGCGTCATTCAGTAGCGAATTGTTTAGTCTCCAGGTGTTGGAGTAGCTTCTCTTTTTTATTTTGTCATTGATTTCTAATGTCACCCATTATGGTCTGATAGAATGCAGGGTAGTATCTCTATATTTTTATTTGCTTAGACTTGCTTTGTGGCATAATGTATGGTCTGTTTTGGAGAAGGATCCATGTGCTGCTGAGAAGAAAGTGTGTTCACTTGTTGACGGATGGAATATTCTGTAGATGTCTGTTAAGTCTAAATTATTCATTGTATCATTGAGTTCTGTAGTTTCTTTGTTTAGTTTTTGGTTGGAAGATCTGTCCAGGGGTGAGAGAGGGTGTTGAAGTCACCCAGTACTATTGTGATGTGGCCTATTTGATTCTTGAAACTGAGAAGGGTTTATTGGTATACATTGTTTGGGGCATAGGTATTGATGATGGTTTTGTCTGGTTGATGTATGGGTCCCTTAAGCAGTACGAAATGACCTTCTTCATCCCTTCTGACTATATTTGGTTTGACGTCCACTTTATCTGACCTGAGGATGGAGACCCCTGTTGGCTTCTGCAGTCCATGGAGTGGTATGTTTTTTCCCAACCTTTCACCTTCCGTCTGTGGATGTCTTTTCCTATGAGATGAGTCCCTTGAAGGCAGCATGTTGTTGGGTCTTTTTTTTTATCCAATCTGCCAGTCTCTGTATTTTAATTGATGAGGTTAGGCCGTTAACATTCAGGGTTATTACTGAAATATGGTGGGTATTCCCAGTCATTTTGGTTTATTTTGGTTTTCAACTTGACTTGGTTTCTCCTTTGATTGGCTTTTTCTTTAGTGTGGTTCCTCCCTTTGCTGATTTTTGTTGTTTTTTTTTTTTAATTTCTTCTCATGGAATATTTTGCCAAGAATGCTCTGTAGCGCAGGCTTTCTGTGGTAACTTGTGTTTATCACGGAAGGTTTTTATTTCATCTTCACATCTGAAGCTTAATTTTGCTGGATCTAAGATTCTTGGTTGGCACCCACTGTCTTTCAGAGCCTGGTGGACGTCCTCCTGCCTCTCCTTCCGTGGCACCTCCTCCACGTTGGCACATGGCCTCCAGCACTCTGGAGGTGCCCGCCTGACCTCAGTGTTTGACTCTCTGATTCTGGGGAATGCATTTGCAGTAACTGGCAAATACGGAGGAATTTCCTCACCAAGAAATGGATCTTTCTCCCTGAATCCTAGGGACTGCTCTGTCCTCCCCGCTCCCAGGAACCCACCCTGAGGCTGGTGACCTGGGGCTGCAGGGGATGGGCCCCGCGACCCCACCCTGAACTAGCTCTGCCCCATCCACCCGGTCAGCCCCTGGTGTCCCGCCCATCCACCACAGCCAGGGAGCCTGAGGGTCTGTCCCCAARCCCCGCTCACCCTGGCCTTAGCTGGAACCTCTTGTGCAGGAAGAGCGCAGCCTGCCCGGACGCCGCGGGTCACAGGCTGGCCTTTCACCGGCTGTTCACCAGCTTCGAAGGCATCCTCTCTGCCGTTGCCAGTCGGCCGGGCGACGCTCACGGCCCACGACACTCCCGCTTCTTGGCTTCGTTTCGTCAGCACAGAGCTGAGCTTCTTTAGGTGGAACATGAGAATGTGTATGGATCTCCTCGTTCCTCATTATTCCTACTTTTCTTGTCTCGGGAGCAGAGTCCCAGAACCAAAACAGAGTCACTGATGTCTAGGGACCTAGCCGGTAGATCTGTCCTGCAGACCACCAAGCTCTCCCCATCACGTGCCCTCAGCCTTCCCACCCTGCCTGGGGGCCTGCCCTGCAGCTCCCTCCTGCTCCCTCCAGCTGTCCTGGGAGAGGGAAGGAGGGCATTTCAGGCTGCAGGTGGGGAGCTTACTGTTTTCTTCAGTTTTCAAATAAACTTGCTGCTTTTCAGCTTTGCTTTTATTTTTTAGTTTATTTAGGAAATAAGTTGACTTCGCAAATTGCCTCTTCCTTCACATTTTATAATTGCATGAATTGTGTTCAATGCACCAGGGACTTGGGCATTCCCTGCGCTTGCTGTAGTGTTCACGCCAGTTTCCTGGCAATCAGTCGCTCACCCAACAGATTCTTAGTGGCCCCCACCTCTGGTCTCAGGGTGTTGTGTTTGGATCAAAATGTCCCCAAGAGGCTCCTGTGTCGAGGCCTGGTCCCTGGAGCAGGTTCAGAGGTGGAGTTTTTAGGCAGTGACAGGATCATGACAGCAGTGACCTCTCCAGGTGATGGACTGATCATCTGAATGGATGACCAGGCGGTGCCCACAGGTGGGCATGGCGGGGAGAGGGGGTCACTGGAGCTGCCCTTGGGGACCGCCTCTTGTGGCTGGCTCTTCTCTGACCCTCTGCTTCCTGGCTACTCTGCTCTGAGCTGCTTTCCTCCCGGTGCCCTTCAGCCACAAGCTGGGCATCAGCACACCTTGAGCCGATGTAATCCTTCCTCCCGTGAGTCGCCCTGGTCGGGTGCTGGGTCAGCGCGAGGCAGAGCTGAGCCCAGGAAGCTGCCTCTGAGGCTGTCCTGCACCCTGTTGACCCTGGCGGGCAGCAGCCCTGCTCTCTTGCCAACAGGATTTCCTAACTACTGAGGTCCCTGTGGACCAGGGGCCAGGCCTCGGTGGAGGTGGGGCCGGGTGGAGGGCAGGCCCCTGTGAGTCGGGACAGCGAGCAGGGTGCCCAGGAAAGGGACAGGCGCCCTCAAGGCAGGCCCCTGGTGTCCTGAGGAGTCCTGGAGCAGCAGGCTGTGGACAAGGTGGTGCCCAGGGATCTGGAGTCCCAGGGCCAGCCTCATGTGCGCAGGGCATGTCCCTCTAGGGAAGTCTGCCTGACCCATTCCCACAGCGCCCACTTCTCAGCCCGATTCTTGTCCCCGGAGACCAGGTTCACGTCCCCACAGCCCAGAGACCCCAGAGGCTGCTCACTGCCTCTCCCTGAAAGAGCTCCCCGGCTACTAGTGCTCTCCCTGGGTCTTTGAAAGTCAGCCCTGGACAGTGCCTGGCTGACCACACACAGTCAGTTTCCACCTCAGCAGCTCGGTCAGTGGACTGCTTCACAAGGGCCTGTGGTCTGCGGTTTCTGCCTCAGCTCTGCCCCAAGTGTTCTCCTACCTCATTCCTCGAAGAGTCCGATAGGATGTGCAGGGGCTGGTGGCACCCTGCTGACCTACACTCCAGGCAGTGTGGCCCTGAGAGCAACCCTGGGCAAACAGGGCCAGGGGTGCAGGTGAGGTGGGCTCTGGACGTCCCTGGGAGAGCATCCCCTGTCTTCTTTCTGGCTGTCCGGGTGTCTTCTATGGGTGTGGAACACCTGTTAATCCCAGGTTTTGTGTGGATTGAGTGACAGCACAGAGTTCGCACCTACACACTGAGCTGAGGAGGCACAGGGAGGGGTCTCCAGAGCCCTGGGMAGGTAGGGAGGCCCGCAGAACCAAGCGGCACCCGAGAGAAGGGGACCCGCAGGGCAGAGAGATGCGGCGGGCACCCAGGAGTAGCCGTGCAGCTTCTGAAGGGAGGCCGAGGCCCTGGGCCACCTGAGACACAGGGGCGTCAGACTGAGGGCCTCCCTCTCCAGAAGTCCACCTCAGAGTGCCCAAGGGTGTCCTCCAGGAAGGGCTTGGGGGATCCTGACATTCCCGGCCTGTAGCTCCCGCTCAGGCTTCCCTGCACCCCAAGCCCTCGGGGCACATGCTCAGGTGTGCCCGCTGCCCCTGCCTCGCTGGCAGATGGGGACAGAGTCTGCTGGGTGCACCTCAGGGCTCCACACCCAGCAGAACCGCCAGGCCGCCTCCCTCAGAATGCCCCTAAGTGCCCAGGGACTGCCGCAGGCCTGGGGATGCGGACAGCAGCCAGCCTTTGGCCTCAGCCCTGCTCCTCCCATGGAGCCGCCTGAGGCCTGCAGCCACCCAGGAGCAGCCCAGCCCTCCTCCGCCCACCTCTGTGCTGGGGTGGACAGAGGTGGAGGCCAGAGGAGGCCCCAGGGTGAGGCTCGCTGTGGCCAGGCTCTGTTGTGATTCTGCTCCTGTGGCCTGCGGAAGGATGGCGTGGGGTGGGCCTCCCTTCCCGGGGGCTCGGCTCGTGGCTCCCAGGACCAGGGACATCACTGACTTGCTGCCCTCCCACACCCGGAGCACTGTCCTCCGCCATGACGTGGCCCACACACGAACACCCAGGCTGGTGGCTCCTGAGCTGTCTGTGGCCACCCCTTTTCCTGCCCCTGGTGGTCCCCTGGCTCAGCCAGAGCCTCTGGGGTCCCCCTGCTGTTTCCCCTCATCTCAGTCACACGTGGTGAGGTGTCCAAGGGTGACGTTTCCTTTTGGTGTCACAGGGAATGGCACTGTGGCAGGGCCCCTCCTGCCTCCCAGCAGGAGCAGTGGGACCCGGGGTCCAGGGGACGCCCTGGCACCTAGGACGTTCCTGCTGTCGTAGGGCCACAGATGTGCACCTGTCACAGTGTCACAGTGGGACCCGGGGTCCAGGGGACGCCCTGGCACCTAGGACGTTCCCGTGTCGCAGGGCCAC